TTTACTCAAGTACTGTACTTAAGTTCAGTTTTGAGCAGTTTTGAGTGTTTTCATGCTACTCTATACTTATACTTGTACTTTTTAACTTGATTATATTTATTTTGTAGTTGTAGTTCATCATCAGATTAGGATTTTTTAGATTAAAAAACACACAATGAGCTCATAAAATACAATGACAAAAATAAAATACAATTGGCTCTCAACCTTTTTGGCTCCTTACAAAAAGAAGCATCTACTTGGGTTATGTTTTCCATTTCCCAGAAATTGTTAGCATTTCCTCTTTAAACTACTCATGGCTTAATGTAATAACTATTCTAGTTTATAGAGGTCAAATTATTAAATATTTAACAAAGAAGTAAAATAGAAAAGTCTGAAACATGAATACAAACTTGTGTAGAAGAACTTCTTTCCCTATCCTAATTATCATTTCACCACACTACTACGAAACTACCTAAAGTAAAACTAGGTTGATTAAAACGGCCCAGAAAGTCATTGGTACCCATCTACCCAACATCAGTCATATCCGTGTGTAACATTATGAGTAATCCTGTCTTCAATCTTAACAATCTTATGATGAAATAATTTGACACAGCAACCTATTTGCATGTGTAATGATACAATGTGGTTACATCACATTCAGCCTCTGTAATCAGGCCTCATTCAGTATAACAACCTCATAGTGTAGCACTTTAATGCTCCTTACCTTGCCCTTTTTGTGTTGTCTAGTTTCATTATGCTCTCTACTCTGCTACATTAGATCCTGTATCAAGGTGTGTTTCTTCCATTCTTCTCCATTCTTTGAGACTTTTTGAGACAAAGTTTAATTCAGTTCACCATGCTGGACTTTGACTGCTTCTTTACAGTGTCATGCTGCTTGACTACACAGAGATGCGAATGTAGAAAGTACAGTATGTGTCACTTCTGCAGTGTTGCTGCTAAAAATGGACACGTCCGGTGAAAGTGTCAAAATCCCACTGGGTCCTGAGAAAATGCGTACGTGTTTACTTCTGATTTCCTAACAGGCTTAACTTGTTCTCAATACTGTAGACTGAATCAGTCATCAAGAGAACAATTTGCAGCTCCCACATTCCAACCAACAGTAAAAGGCAAGGTTGATGGGAAATCTCTCACTTGCTTCATTGACCTCTTGTAACATCACCAAATCAGAGAATAACCAATACAGATGACATTAACCTCTAGCTAAGTGGTTTTGCAAAGCACACCTGATATCAAAGTTGATAAAAAGAAACACTTAATGCCATACATCTCCATCCAAGAATAAGGCAGACAGCAACCTACAAGAAACCCATTCACATCAAACCAAGGTAGGTAGCCTTCAGTCAACTTATCTGCGAACACATGCTCACTTAAAGTAAAAAAAAGTGGATGTAAGAAACAAGACAAACAACAAAAAAATGAAGTCAACAACACAAAGTGTGCCAGACTCAAAGAGTGAAGATAACTTACATGACATCCCTCTGTTCCCGAATACACATCCTTACGCTCGGCTTGGAGCTCCGGACAATTGACTTCTTGTTCCTCACGGATGGAGCGGACATGTCTGAGGACATGACAGCGGCAACACAGCGCAATAAACCACCATACTTTTCAACCGCGTTGGGCGACGGAGGACGGATGCACGGTCGGATGGACCAAGTGCAGAATGGATGGAAACACAGATTCGAAGTCAAAGGCCTGGTTCGGTTTGGAAGAACAGGGCAAGAATATAGACCAATGAAGGAGAAGATGGAAGAATAGATGAACAGAGTGATTAATAGCTTAAAATAGAAAAACTAATTAAAGAAGTAGCTAGATGGGAAGATAGAGCGATCAGTCGTGTTGGTTAGGAAGTCTGTTAGAGGTCTGAACACTTGATACTCCACCAGTCATTTCCTGAAGGGGCCTCCTCCTACAGCCCCGGCTGCTCATTGGGCGTCAGGTTGCAGCATGTTCCTTCCTGCTTCCTCAGAGATAGACCCTGATTGGCTGCCCAACACAACCCACATCACTCATACATCACACACTCGGACAAACACAGGACCTTAAAAAGAGGCCGGGGGATTTTCCATCCTCTAAAACTGGAACAATAGAGGTCAAGCACACGCACACAAAACACACACACCCACGCACACACACACACACACACACTCACACACACACACACACTCATACACATACACAAACTGGCAGAGGTTGAAGCAGAGCGAGGCTGACAGCTTTACAGCCCCGCTTGTGTACAAACAGCGTCCCGAAGCACCAGCGACCTCGAGAGTTGCATATCATTTTTAGATATTGTCATCATTGCAGCTGTTTCTCCAAATAAGACCACATATCCCATCAGCCCCATTGATTCTTTTCCTCTTCTACCCTAAAGATGAAAACGGAGTGAAAACCTAATAGTTTTCGTATCAGCCTACCACAACCTGCTGTCATTGGAGTCTCAGATACCTGTATGTGCATTGTCTTTTAAAAAGAGACGATGATGAACGTATTCTGCCTCTTTTGTAGACGTGTGTGCATTAAAAAGTTTAACAAATAGTTTAGATGGTTCCAACTGTCCTGTAGTCCTACATTTTGCAGTCTATATTTGCAGTAGATGTAGACAAGAAGCACAGAGAGAGAGAGGGGTATGTGATGCAACAAAGGTTCCCTGGCCGGAAGTCATGTCTAACTTTAAGGCCACCGGGGCTTCCTGCTGAGCTGAATCTC